TTAATTTTGACCAATAAAATTTCAAGATCACACATTTCACGTGACAATAAAAAAAGGTCACCGTTTCATTTTAATCCGTCACAATAACTATAAAAAAATCTACCTATATATATAAAAAACTTTTTGCTAATAATAAATTAAACTTAAAATTAAAGCATTAATATTATATAACAGAAAAAAAATATATTTAAAGCAAAATTTCACAAGAAATAATTTTTAAAACACAATAAGATATATGTCATTTTAAAAAATATAAAATTTTACATTATATTTTGATCTTATAATCTGATTGGTTAATGTGATCACCTAGACACAGCCAGATTTTACAGTTACATTTACATAATTTTTCAAGTTTTAATTAATTCGCGTTCATCATGCCTGCCCTATGATAAATGATGCAAAAGAAAACAAATATACTAGCTAGCCAGCAATATAATAATATAATAATTTTAACAAAAAACAATAAAAAAGTAAACGACGAAATTTAATCATTAACACTCAATTCTTTTTTTCCAAGATCTTGCGCTTTTCGATACGCGCGTCGGTCTTGAATTTGAACCCGATTGGACGAGTCAATGGCTTTTTAGATCTTTTATGCAGGTTGTTGTTATTTGAAGTTGTCGTTGATTTTATTGTTGATGTTGTTGTCTTGTTTTCTTTTTCAGTCTTTTGTGCTCGTTCCTTTTCGTGATGCTTCTTACATAGATCATGTCTAGATGATGTTGAAGGTTCCGTTTTAGCGAAAAGAGGAGGTCGTGGTGCTTTGATTGTATTCTAAAAGATACACGTGCATAATTTATTTATTAGCTTATTTTGGTAAAATATATTCCAATAATAATTTTACCTTATTTACATGGTTAACAAGTTTCATCGTTGACGACTTAAATCTGTCGTTGTAGAATCTTTGTACTTGAGCGGCCAACGGGACATATGATGTTCGTTTTTCTTGTGGAATTGTTCGTGAAGTTGAATGGAATTTGAATGGTTTTGGGATTGTGACGTTTTTGTGTAAGATCGGTTGACGTTTCTACATATCGAAAAATTTAATTATCACGATATAAAATACATAGAGTCATTGAATGATAAATGTTGCATACTTGAACCCCTCGAGATTTTCTTCGAGTCAAAGAATCCCTGACCTTTATCGGCGGCGATCTCAATGGTGATTTTCTCTTCTTTACAATTTGTCTTTTTTGAGTTTGAACTATTGCTTTTGTGTTTTCAATTGGAGATGTATTTCCAAGAGACTGTTGTTTTTGTTTAGGGTATGGGGTTGGTAATCTCGGTTCCTTCTTTTGAATTATAGGAACTGGTGTTGAAATAATAAAAGATTTTTTTTGAGAGTCTGATTCTTCTTTTTCTGATAGCTCCTCTGTGAATTTTACTAACAATTTTTTAGGTGTATTTATTTTTTTAGGAACTGGTGTAATAACGGGAGATTTTTTGGGTGTATTTATTTTTTCAGGAACTGGTGTTGAAATAACGGAAGATTTTTTTGGTAAGTTTTGTTCCTTTTCATCCGCCGAGACTGGTGTTGAGATTATTGATGGTTTTTCTTGTGGGTTTAGGTCTGGAACTGTTGTTGAAATGATTACGTTTGGTTCTGTAGGCGCCACTGTTACTTTTACTGGTGTTGAGTTTATTGATGGTTTTTCTTGTGTGTTTAAGTTTTTTATATCTGGAACTATTGTTGAAATGATTTTTGTGTTTGGTTCTGCAGGAGCCACCGACGCTTTTGAGGTGTTGATTAAAGATTGACCGGGAGTAGGTAGGTGCCGATCTATTTAAAAAATATATAATTTTTATAACTCGCGATTTTTTATGAGTCTAAATTGTACTGATTAATACAGAATACACACCAAACCAAGAATCACCGCTACCAAACGTCATGTCTTTGTTAAAATCACCCCATCTTGGAGCCTCAAAATTATACAACGGGTCATCGCACGGATTCTTTTTCTTGATCCCCAAGCTTCGATGTAACTGATCAAGGGTATTTTTCGAATTACGAACCGGTTCCAGCTGGAACTTCTGATTCTTATTGTAGGTATCTGACGGATCAACTTTAAATTCGTCGTATATTTTTGACGGATTTTCTATCAGCTTTTTTCCTTTGGCGTGGTGGTGATTGTTGTGGTGGGTAATAGCATTGGTTTTTTGTTTAGTTGATGGTGATTGTGTGAGTACGTCGAGTTTGTATACTTCGTGAAAAGATGGTGCAAGGTGCTGGTGATATTGGTTGTGATTATAGGAATTCACAAGCTTTTGATGGGTGGTAGTAGTAGCATTATTTTCTTTATATGATTTATGTGGTAAAGTAGGTAGAGGCGGCTTCGACAAAAACGAACTCGCAATAACAGGAACAAATAGATTTTTAGTAGGTGGCGCATTATTCTTAGTAATTAATGGACTTGCAGGTGTTCCAAGTCTTTTATCTTTGAATAATAGAAACAAAGATATTAATTTAAAATTTTTATAAAAACTTTCTAAATTTGATTCCTTGTTAGATACTTGATAAAAATTAACAATACCAAACCAAGAGTCACCTTCCCCATACGTCGAGTCTTCGTTAAATGTTCGGTATTTTGGCGCGTCAAAATCGTATAAAGGATCATTATTTATAAATAAGTTTGCTTTGTTGTCGGAATTTGCAATGTTTGTAGCAGTAGTATTACTTTCCTTTAGCGGTGGCTTGTTCTTTGGGGTGCCTTTTAGGTTATGGACAGTTGCCATTTTGTTTCTTGAGTCAGAAAGAACAAAAATGTAGTAGTGGTTTGTATGTTTTGTTTTGATTATCAAAATTTTTCGAAGTTCAGATCTGATTGGATCAAATTTTTGAATTGACGCGTTCTTATTTGAAATTTGCAAATCACGTGGTTCCTCCTTTATAATACCGAACATAAGCAATTCCCGAACCGAACATAAGCAACTCTTTTATTTTGAAACTGAAATCATATCATCATCAATATTCTCTTTATTTTTATTGGATCATAAATTACATTATAATAAATTTCATCATTATCAATTATATCATCATTAATATTCTCTTTGCTTTCATTATTAGGATCATAAATTTCATCATTATCTTCTGATTCATCCATATAGTGATTCTAATCAATTAACTCTTAATCAATTAATTAACTGATTAATCAGTTAAAAACTTTTTATATAATTAATTATTCTAGATATAAATATTATTACTAAATAAAAATTTATTAATTATATAATTATATAAATAATGATAATAATAAATTAACTTGAATATAATTATATAATCATATAGATTAAATAATAATAATATAAATAAATATCAAAAAAAAATATTAAGTTATATCTTTTATTCTTATAATCCTATTAATAAAAAATTTTAAAATATAAAAATTAATTTTTCATATCAAGAACTAATCATATTAATTATATAAATTATATATAATAATAATAATAATAATAATCAAATTATTACAAATTAAAATAAAACTATTATTATAAATCAAATTATTATAAAATTATTATAAAATAAAATATTATTAATTAAAATAAAATTATTATAAATTAAAATATTATTAATATTAATATTATAAATCAAAATATTATAGATCAAATATTATCTTCTCTTTCTTTTTTATTTGATCTTAATAATTAATAACTTTAAATTTATGAGTTAATAATAATAAATTTTGATAATTTTAAAGATTTTAAAAAAAAATAATACTAATATTAAAGATAAATAATATTAATAATTATTTTTTATTCTTAAATATTTATATTAATAATTATTATTTATTTTTCATAAATATCTGTATTAATAAAATAAAAAAATATTTAAAGTTAAATATAAGCTAAATATAAAAATAATTTAATAGAGATAAAAATAAATAGAATATCAAATATAAAATTACAGAATATAATATAATTTTTTCTTTAAATATCACTATATTATTCTATTTTTATTATTTTGATTATATTTATTTTATAATAAAAAATATATTATTTATTTAAAAAAACAAAATAATAAATAAATAAAGAATATAATATAATAATTTATTTATTTTTAAAGGATAAATAAAAATAAGCAAATTTTTATTATTTAAAATTTATAATTAATGATTCATAATTATTTATACTATTAAAAAATAAAAAATTTAAATTTTTTTTAATTATTTTATATTTTAATTATAAAATTTTATATAATAATATAATTAAAATCTTAATTATATAAAATATTAAATTATTATATTAAATTTTAACTAATTTACTTGATAAAATTATAATAAAAATAAGCTTTATAACTAATTTATAAATTGAATTTTATTAATTTATATTAATATAATTATTTATTAAATAATTAATGATTTTAAGCTTTAATAAATCTTATAATTAAGAAAATATTATATAATTATAATATATTGATATAAATATAATTATAATATATTAATATAAATATAATTATAATATATTGATATATATTTGATTATTAATATATTAATCTATAAGAATAAATTATTATTAATATAAATAATAATAATAATATAAAGATATTAAAAGTATTTTGAAATTTATAAATTATTAATTTTTTTTATTATATATATATATTATTTATTTATTTATATTTAATATATTATAAATTAATTCTAATTAAGAATTATTAAAAAGATAAAATTATTTTTTTTTATTTATTATAATATTATTATAGTAATATAAATTTTTTTAATTTTATAATTTTTTGAACATGGAAAATTTAACTAATTAATTAATCTTTAGAAGACATGTAATTTTAAATAATATAATTGATATATCAATTATAGATTCAATCATGATTTAATAATATTCTTGCAATATTCTTGCAATATTCTTGCAATATTTTTGCAATATTCTAAGATTATTAATAAATAATTAGTCCTAAAATTGATAATAGTTTACAAATGGTTTAATAATAGTTCAGAAATACTTTAGAAATAGTTTAGCAATAAATTTTATTTATTTTTATTATTTATCTTTTCTTTTTAGAACATCTATCTTATCTTTTTATTTTATTTTGTCATTTATATTATTATTTAGCTTATCATATGTATCTTATCTCTTATTTTTATTTATTTATTGATTCTTTGTCTCAAAGATTGTAATTATAGTTTAGAGTAGTAAATAAGTTTAGATAGAAACTTGTAAAACCTCAAAGATATATAAATATTTCTGTTCTGAGACTTGAAATAAATATACTTGAATAGTAATAATTCAATTATCTTTTATAAATACTTGAGTTATACTTATCTTGTAATTTTTCTTT